AGCGGCGACTCCGCCAAGGGAGGCGCCCCTGTCTCGCGAGGCTGAGCATGTTATCCCCGTCGCGGGTCTGAACGGGAGAGGAGGTCAAAGGCCGACTTCAGCTGAGGAATTGGGACAAAAAAAGCCCAAAAAACCCCAAAACAAAACCACTTGAGGTCTTGAGTGAGCCCTCGGATTCAACCCAAAACCCATAACGGGATTATAGTGCAGGGGGAGTAGGCATAAATGCACGCAGCTTCTGGATTTAAAGTAGCCCCAGCTCCTGTGTGCCCACAAGCTCCTCAAGGCAAAGGAAYGGGGACTCAAAATCCACATTATCAGTACATTTCACTGCCGTCACCTAAAATTCTTCTCTACATAACATTAAGGGAATCAGAACCCATCTATTTATTAAAATATATATATATGTTCAATTATTCTCGACTCCCTCAGCCCTAAGGGTTCTCCTTCCACCCAAGGACCCACAGTCCTGTCACACAGGGCAGAGCTCAGAGGGGCTACAACCTCCCTCCCCTTAACAAGGACAACCCAGTGCTCAGGGAGAATACAGCTATTTTAATAATTCAAAGAGCAGCTCTTTACGGTTCCTGTTTGCTATATATACATGGTTGCACAATCTGAGGCTGGTTAAATACAATATTCTCAACACCTCTTGGAATTAGTTCCAGATTACAACATGCAAGTGACCATGAAAATATTTGGYTTTCGATTTTATTTTTTAAGTTCTGAACAGGCACTTACATGAGGGAGTTAAGTTTGCTCTCAAAGATATCCACATGAAGAGAAGTATCCTAGCAGAAAGTACACAGAATCTTTGTCTGCTTTATCAAAGTGCCATAGTAATAAAACAGTTCTTACAGAAATATAATGCAGTTAATTTACTTACTCAGAAAGTAAGGTTACCAATGACACTTGCACCCAAGCTGAAAAGTCTTGGTTTAAAGGCCAAGTGAACTACAAGCCTTCCACACAGCAGGCTTCGCTTTATGCCCAAGCCACACGTCTGGTAACAGACTACATGCTCCACRGTGAATAGATGAAGGCTAACTTGTTTAAGCTATTTCTCCAACCACTAAATGCATACACGATGATTAAGATAAACAAGCTGCTTTGCTAGACAAGCTTCTAGTAGTTTTGAAGCTCACCTGGCTTCAAAATGCCTTTCTAGAAGCCTCGTAACAGGCCTCGATGGACTCAGGAGAACGTCCTTGGAGGATGTAGGTGCCTCTCGTATGAGGACAGTGAGGAAACAAACTGTGAAGACAGTGGAAGTGTGAATCCAGGAGGAACAGTTGTGTATTTGCAAAATAATCAACGTTACCAGTGCTTGTTTCATCAATAAGGGATAACTACTTTCACATATTTCAAACACTCACCATCCCAAAGTGAAATAGTGAGAACATCTCTACTCTCACCAGTTACCAGGCAATGAATCTTAAGAGTCACTCAGATGAAAGGCTCACGAGAAGTACAGTCGAATAAATTTTCTTTTTTTTTTTTTTGTTTCATTTTGCAATGAGATTCTTCATCACTAACAGAGTCAAAGCTTCTTTAAAACCTTGGTTAGGTAGCTGAAGTCTCCAGTTACCATATCCCTAGTGCATATACTGGAGTTAAACCCTGATATGACAAATAGGAGTCTTTTAGGGCAGAAAGTCCATCATAAGCCTTGATTTTTAGTGCGATTTAGTTGTCTTACTGAAGTTTCAGAACAAACAAAAAAAAGCAGATAAACAACATTTGAGAGAGACATGCAATAAACAACATGAATGGAAAAGGGAAATGCTTTAGTCTACACAATACAGGTGATCAGCAAAAATCAAATATACAAGCCTACCATACATGGAAATAATTCRATTTAAGCCTATGCATATCCAAGTGCATTACATTATCAAATAAAAGTAAATGTGCAGTATAAAATAGTAGCTTAAGAAAGTTCCAGTGTTTGAGAAAGCACTTTATTGTAAATGTATATACATACTTGAACGTTTAACTGAAGAATATTTTAGTAGTAGGGTAAATGCAGCGCTGCAAGATGAAGGAAGACAGTTGTAATGGGAATTTTGGCCTTCGTTTCCCACAGGCTGCTGCCATCTTTAACCTGCTGAAGCATTGCAAGAGTTTTTCAGCTCATACCAGTTCACATTTCAGGTTGCTCAGCAGATGCTTGTGACTCTGGAGATTCAAATCGCTGGTGAAAGTTTGTTCGCTGCTTCCGCAGTTTCTCGGGAGCTTTTCTCCACAAAATTATTTCCTATGGAGAAAGTAAACGCTGGAATCAACCACTCACCGCTTTGCCAACATCAAGTATCATTGTGATATAACTCCCCCAAGGCAAAGAATTTGCAAAAACTCTGCATTGCTGCTGTATTGCACTGTTCCATAACTAAGGCAGAAGCAGGAGACAGGCAACATATTCATATATTTAGTTAGGAACTGAACATTTATTGTGACCAATCCCCAGCAGTCACCTCCCAGGCTATTCTAAGCCCTGCTTTGACTGTATAAAGGGTTCAAGTAGTTTTTCTTCCTCCTTTCYTGCTAGATTTAAAGCCTATGATAGCCCTATTATCCTCCAGCCTCCTCTTACACTGTATTACTCTGTCTATTCTTTAGAAGGAAGCCTCTGACCTACATAGCTTCATTCCAGTGACCCTTTTCACATCGTTCCTTTCTTCTGCATGCCCTCAACTGCTGAATTTCAGTCAAGTCTTAATCCTTTGCATAATTCTGCAGTTTTGAACCCAAGTTATTCCTGTAAAAGGGAAATCATCCGCAATAGTTAAAGAAAAGGCAAGCATTGCATCTGCAGCTCATTTTAGACAAACACATTTGAGTATTCACACTGCAAAGTTCCTTTACGGGTGCATTTTATGCACAGCCCATAATACACCAGACAAAAAAATACTAGAGCTATACACAAAACAGCTCATTTTTCATGTGTCACATACTCAGAGCAGCCTGTTTAGCAGYCCAGGTAACTTCCCGCAACAAGATTCCTAGAGATCATACCTGTTGTTTGAAGTATCGTCTGTCTTCTTCATCCACAAGCACTAGATTTAGGAAGTACCTCACTGAAAACTTTTTGTTTACATCCCTCATGGTGGGAGTTGGGTCGTAGCCTGCTAAGAACAGCCTTATAGGAATTGATTCACCTTGAAGAGGAAAGAGTTGAAAATCAGTTCTTCAAAACGGGGTGTCATTAAAAATATCTGCTTTGAATATGTAAAATCCACTCTCATTTCAGCAGCCCAAGGAGAAAGAGTTGCTCCAAGGAAAACTTAACCAACATCAACTCCTTCAGAAGGGATAGGGGGAGAAAAAGGGGTGGTGGTGAAGGGGAAAGCAGGAAAAAAGAATGTTTTAACCCAAAACGCTCCCTCTTCAGAACCAAAGCACTGTTATTTACCTTTCACTGGTGCACCATCCATTATTTCATACTTGGCAATGGTTTCAGTCTCTGTCGTGGTACTGGGTCCTGGGCAAACAAGTTTTTACTTTGAGGACACACGCTTCATTTTTTAAAYGCATTTACAAGTAATTTTTATCACAGCAATCTCTAACGCTGCAGCATTCAAATCACAGAGCATGGCATTTCTTTTTCTCATGCCTTTGCAAGTCACCAAAGCAAGAAAAACACCACCTTATACCCCAGTTACACACAGACAGCACAAAGTTACCACCCTTCTCCCCACACTGATGAGGAAGAGGCAGCAGCTCATGTTTCTAGGGAGCCCTGTGTGCAAAGGCTGTGAATAACAGGCAGGTGTGCAAGATAACCCCTGGCAGGCGTGCTCAGWAGGCAGAGCTACTTACTTTGATACTGCTAGTCAATGGTCAGACTAGAAATTTAAAGATCCAGCAAAAGCAGCACCTTTTCCACAGCCACCTCTCTTCAGGCCTTAGGAAGGACAAGTTGTAGGGTCCAACTTAGGCAGAAGCGGCAGTGGTAAAAGCAGCTTTCCATCCTTCCTCTGTGACTATGGAAGTTTTGTTTCTCTCCACATAAACAGCTCCACTATGGCCTCAGGCATTGACAAAAGTCATCATGAGCCACAGCCTCTTCCTCCCTCCCTAGCTGCAGGGTGTGCAAGCCTGGCTTGCAACGACCAGGCGGTTGCTGCTTCAAAGCCTCTGATATTTTCATCAAAATTAACCCAAAGTGATATATTCCCAGGGCGTGAAAGGGGTCTTCCCCAAGTTGATTTTGCCAGATTATCTCAGAGGTAAAGGGTTCTTCCTGACATTTAGCATCTTCTTCCTTGTTTTTAAGCATCAAGGCTACCAAACCTCCRGCATATTTCCACCCAAGCTCAATTTGCAATGATCTGTGCTTGTCAGGTAGWTAGACCAGCATCCACAACCCCAGAACAAGCTGCATTCCTTTGAGGAATGTCAACCACCAGGTATGATTGCTGATGCCACAAAGATCAGTGAGTGGAAAGCACATGAAGATCAATCCAGCCAAAATGGGAGCTTTTTGACCTCAGTCACTTGGTTTGCTTAAGCTCTACGGACATACAAGCTGCCATCTGCCTTGARCTTTGTTTCTCTTACCAATTCCAGTAATCTCCTTCTTGATCAGCTGCAACTCCATGTGCTGAATTTTTATTCTCACTAAGAGGAAGTAAATTTTTCCAACAATCACATCCTTTAAGTGATACCTTTAAGAGAATGCAACAGAGTCTTCATTAAGAAAGAAAACAAAACCAAAAATCACCCACATTTTTACACCTTCTTGAAAGTTACATAGGCAGTTACTTTATCTGCCTGTTAATTATTCAGAGCTTACTTCCCAGATAAGCATCTCAGCCACACCAGAGCAATTAGCATCTTTCCATCACTGCAGCTATATATTGAAATAACATGAATACRATTTGAAATCAAACCTTAAAAATTTGTTGCTCATCTGCTTTTTAGTACTGACAGCAGAAGTACTCCTCAAGGAAGGCCACTGCACAATTTACTTGGATGCTTTTTGCTCCAAATGACACTTACTTGGATTTATTGTATTCAAACTCTATRTGCAAGCAGTCTTCAATGCCCACTTCCATTTTAATTGAGTTGTTCACATCGGGGTAGGTAGCAAGCTGGTGAACAATGAGCTCATACTCCTTCACCAGGTCTGTCAGCCTTCTTACTATTGTCGCTTTTAGGAAATACCTAGGAAAGAAAACATCAAGATGGTGAGAATTACTCAGAATTACATAAGCCAAGGGGTTCATGTTCTGAGACACAGGTGCTCTTTGAAAGAGCATTCCTTCTTAAGACTGAACAGAAAGGAATATGACAAAAAACGAAAAAAATCTGTTTGTGCCTTGATTGAAAGTCACACTAGTTAATAACTATAAGGACAAAAKGAAACCCAGACCCTCTGGGGGCACTAGTCTCACTGCTTCTATTGCCCACCCAAAGTAATGGCCACAAATACCTGTCCTTTTTCCCTGCCCCATATTAACTGCCGTTTCCCTTGTGCTGGTGCAAGTCACTGGAGCACAACTGCCTTTGCAGAAGGTCTCATTTGCATTGTGCATTCAGAGCACAGTCCCACACAGTTTGGGAATTCTAGCATCACAGTGATTCATTTTTAAGAATGAAAAGAGAGATTTCTCCCTCCAGCCCTTTCCGATCCTAATCAAGACCCCAGGGACAAGCTCAGCATTTTAAAACAAGGTACAAGGTGGCTCTTCTCTTCAAGACCTCAGGCTGCCATTTTCAACAGTTCTGTTTTGATGTTTTTAAGTTCACAAAAGTCCATCAAGCACCACTCTTCTCACAATAGTTTTACCCTCAAGATAGCAGTGAAATTGTGCCCCCTGCTCCCCTCCTTTATTTTTTGGTTTTCTTCCAGGGCAGGGAGGAAGAAGGAGCAGAACTGCCAAACTTTAGGGCTTGCTTAAGGGAGCAAAACAGATCCTGAGTTTTGTTACAAACCTCAGTCTGACGTTGGCACCAATGTACGACTCGTATGGCTTCTCAACTTGCATGAACTCAAAGTCATAGCTTCTGCTCTGGGTCAGTTCTCCGGGCAAGGCCAGTTCCTTCACTAAGTTTACAAATTCATGGGTGTTACTTTTGTCATTGAAGAGCTCTAAAAGACGAAAGAAAGCAGGTTTCAGTGATTTACTTTTAGCAAACACAATCTTCTCTATTTTGGCAGGAACAAGCACAAAAGGAGAAAGGAAGCAACCACTTCCATACCAAAGTGTCAAAAAGCTTTATCCACTTCTTTAAARTTGGCTTAAACTTCAACAACCTACAGAAAGTATTCCTAAAATACCACATGCAAAGCAAAGAACAACTATTTAAGGCTTCACCAGCATATGCTTTTTATGCCAGTCCAGCTAACAAAGTATTTCCAGCCTGCAGCACTGCCTGGTTCAGCATTTCTTGCACACAGGTTGAAGCATTCCAGAAAAGAGCAAGTGAACTGAACACATCCTCAACCTCAGGTTATCATTGCAGACTTGCTAGAAACAGACATTTCAATTATTTACCGCTGATTTTGCAAAATGACTACAAATACACTAGGTTGCCCTTTATTTGCTATGACAGGGGTTTAAATAATTAAGTTTATTTACTATTGCAAATCCAGCACTTTTTTGCAGGTCAAAAGAAGTTGCATTCTGAAAAGGACAACTCTTGCTTTAAAGCAAACTTGTGATATTCAGCTAGAGATAGTCTCTAGGTACAACAGAGGCAGTATTGGGATGTTTTTGTATTACCAGATGAATTCAATTCAATAGAAGGTGCAAGAAAACACAAGCAAACAGGAAGAGCAGCGACTTAAGTCACTTCTCCATAACAACTCCCTGAGAAATTTTCAACTTGTAACACCACAGAAAGATGCCTACAAACAAAAATCAATACATCAACTGAAACTTGTCTAGCAAATAAAAATCCATGCATCAGAGCCAATTAAAAACAACTCGCAAAGTTAAAGGGCAACAAACACTGAAGTTGACATAACAGAGCTTTATTTTTCCACTCTCCAAGTGCCTCAGTCCCACTGCACTGCTGCTTTATTCTGGAAGTTTGCTTTTACATCCCAGTTTTTTCAGTATTTAGTCACACCTGCTGGGTGATAGTTCACAGAAAGGCTACTGGGGCCCAATGGCTGAACAAAAATAGAGAATTTRTGAAAATTCAGAATCAATCCCATGAGGCTAAAATTTGAAGACTAATTTCAGAGTGGGACATCAATGCACTCAGCCCTCTAACAGAAAAAGAGGGAATTTTAGCATCACCTTAAGGACACTGAAAGGTGAGGTAGCAAGAGGAGATTAGATACGATAAAGCTACCCAAATCTGGCTGGGTCTTGAAGAAATTGATATTTATGTGAATATAACATGATCTTGYTAGAAAGAGCAGTGATCTTCTGAAGTTTCAATCCCATTTTGTCACTAATATGCAACTATGCTTTATAAAACCCGCCACCATAGAATTATTTCCAGAAAAATCTCACTGCTCCATCTTTTTTTTTTTTTCTCTCCCTCTTTCCTATGCCTTTTCTTCTAGCTCGAAAGCTAAATGCCAAAATTAAGAGACCTGGAACAATACCTACAGCTGATATTTTAGGTTAAAATTTCAAATACAGATGAAACAAGGCACAGGCAGAAAAAAAATGGTAGTTTTATCTCAGTTTTCATATCAGAGTCATTCATTCACAGTTCTTTTCAGGGGTGTTTTTAACTTAAAAACGAGTGGCCTGAAATGCTTGAAGTCATGTGTACCATGGCCCCATTTAGTTTTCTTAGCCCACAGAAAACTTCAGCTTCTCAACCAGTCTCAGTCAGACAGAATACTCTTCATGCCAGTCCTCTCTCCCATTACTGCTCAGACTAGCACAAAGCAATACATCACCTGTGTTAAACTGGGTGGGCAATGCTTCCTTTTGCATGTATTATTCACTAACCTGATCCGGCTGATGAGCCAGACTGCTGCCAATCACAAACGCAAATATTCACAAATCACACCTAACACCCCCTTTATAGCTTCTGAACTCACCGATTTGTCCTACAAATTCAATTCTAATTCCTTGGTGCTCTAGTCTCTTCCCATGCTGCCTAAAGGAGACGTTCACCTACCAAAGAGGAAAAAAAAATACCAGTTAGAGTTTGAAATACCTTTACTTTACAGATTGATCTTACAGAGAAAATACATTATTGAAATATGTGCATTAAAAAGGTCCGAGCTTGAAGGCAAACAAATCAAACAGCTGATGACGAAATTAAAGATCGCCCACCAAGTATGTAAGAAACATCTAGCTATCCACACGTTTAGTTTGATAACTAAGTTTGAAATCCCCAAGTCCTGCAAATGGAAGACTAAGTGAGAGCTTCTGCAGAGTTCACTCAAGCCATCCATGACCCTCTTAATCACCTCAGAAGGCTGAAATCTTCAAAACATTTCTGAGAGTCTCATTGAGATATCCAAGAACGGTCACAAGATGTATTCTTTCAGGTCAAGGGATTTTAAATCCCTTCCTCAGCAAAAGTTTTAGAGAAGTCAAAGCAAAAAACCAACAGACAATCAAACCCACTATCAGGACCTTCATACCCTTGTATCAGTGACATCCAAGTGCAGGTAAATCACATGGACAATTTGTCTTTAAGGTGAAGAGAAGAAAAAGAGGTATTCCTCCTGATCGAGCTCTGATTGTTAGTCTGAACTCATCTGAACCTCTCAGGAACCCCTGAGAGAATCCAGAAGTCATTACACCAGTGAATAGGAGAGCTAGTTCCTCCCTTCCCTAAGTCTGCCACGTATCTCGTGAGAGTTTCACATCCCTGGAAGGATCTTTCTACAGAACGAGGCTCCTAACATGGCAAGCCATCTGAACAGCAGCAAGATGCCCAGCAACAACAGATCAGTTCAGATCAGTTAAGACTGAAGTAGGTATTTAGAAKTCAAATCTAGAAGCAAACACTTGACTCAAGTTTCTAGAAGAAAAAGTGAATTAGAACCTTCAGTGAACAAGTATAGTAAAAACAGGATAATCACAAGGAATTCTGAGGTGCAGTACAGAAAGATGAGGAAACTTTCTGGCAAGCTTAGTTTCATTCTTTTTTTCAGAAAGAAAAACTCCTCCGGAGTGGACAGCCAGCTGAACTTCAACATATTGCTCCTCTGATGCAATTCCAGAAATGGCCTCAGGGCACAAAGCAAAGGACTTGGCTTCAGGACACACAAAGCAATTCAGCTGCATCAGCCAGCAATTACTGTTATGCGTGAGACACTGTGGATTTGGGAGCTTAAGAGTCGAGCCGAGTGGAAGGGAGGAGGAGACTCAGCTGGAAATAGTTTTCAAAAGCTATCACAAAATTGCCCAAACAGCTTCTCCATAAATACAAGATAACTAGGGATAAACCAGCAGCAAACAGCCACTGAGAAGGCTCAATTTTGTCATTTTTCTCAGTAACTTCCTCCAACAGAGGCTGGAAAGACCAGATACAGGAAAACTTTCTCTCCTCTGATTAGCAACATGAGCTAATCACATGAGCATGTGATTCCAGTTCCAGCTGTTGCTTAAAAATCAGTTATCGCATATTATATGTATTCACATACCAAAATCAGCACAGCAACTCAGAGTTATTTAAAATAAAAACGTTACCTTTCCGGAAACAGACTCGCCATCGTAGAAGAGATAGTGCTTTTCTATTTTACCATCTTCTGTTTTGATCTCGGCTGGCTTTCGTGTTTCAGCGTCATTAAGGACAACATCAATCTCACAAACAGGACCAAAAAAGCCTCCAAGGAAACTCTGAAATAAGAATTAGATAAATTACTACACAGCAAACATTCCATTTTTTAACATGTATCACTTATTCACAGCTGTACAGTCTAAATTGGGGAAAAAGTCTTGTAGTGAATGTGCAGGCTTTTTTAAATACAGAAGAGCCTGTGTTGAAGACCTCCAAAATATCATGATTTCTTTGGACATTTGTTTATCTAGAAAATATCTGAAATAGGAGCAGTAACAAAGAGAAGCTGCTCATAGAAAATACAATGTTTATAACAAAGCACGCAGTATAAGTACTGTTACTACTACTCCATTGAGAAACTACTAAAATAAACAACATCACTGTTGTTAACACAACTTTGGCTCTTGTCACTGCGAAGTCTCCTCGTGTTTACTATTCAAGTGTTGATTTCACTTGCAAAAGTTAATCACTTATCCATACTTCAAAAAAAAAAAAAACCCTAACAAATAGATTCCATTAGGTTTAAGATGTTATAAGAAAAGGAATTACTTGCTGTTTTATATTCCCTGTAATTTACTGCATAAAAAGAAGTAAAAATAGGTAAAAATAGAAGGAATAAAGAAGGAAATTAGGATGCTTCAATGTGAAAAAAAAGCAACCCAGCTAACGGGAACTTAACAACAGGTCTATAAAGCTCCTCTGCTTGGAGCAGGTAAATGAGGAACACTTGTCTGCTGGCTCTTCTTATTGCCCCTAGTTCATTTATCGAATGTGGGACCTTAAATGAAGGCCCTGCAGGGGCAGGATCAGAAGACAGGTCCTCCTCACAGCGGTACTTCAGCTTTGCAGCACTGGCAGCAGATACAGCGGCTATGAGAAGTTCACATTCAATCATCTCTGATGCATTTGTCCCCACTGAACCCGTGCCAAGGCATCACCTCTGCCCAGGCCACAACACAGCAGCACCTAGAGCAGTGCTGTGGGGAAGCATTAAGCATTAAACGTTCACCCTGGCCTAACAGAAAAGGCCTTTGCAAGGCAKGGGTGTCTGCCCAGTATCAAATACAAGAGGCCAAGAAAGATCATCCTTTGACCTTGTACAAGCATTGCTTGGAAGCAGCCAAAAAACACGCTAGCGGCTTGATGGGAACTCAACAAGATTAGCACAAAGGCCTCATTTTTTTCCCCCCCAGCTTAATCCATTAATCTTCTTTGATATACTAAAGCAGACAACGCTTTGGTAATTCACCGACATCTGTTTTTTTGGAGAAATCACAAGTTAGTTTTCAGTGAGCTTCACAGATTTAACATCAAGAATTAAGGACAGGGGAGCATGTTGAAAACAAGTGGAGRAGCTGAAGTTTAAAGTGCAGTGTTAGCTGGAAAGGAAAAAGTATCCAGTACAAAGCTTGATGATGTGAATGCTACTGCTCCAGACACAGGAGCATTGGGGAACTGTTTCGCTCAAGCCCAGCAAAGCTATTGTGCAATTTGGGGCTAGGAAACAGCATTTCAAGCAAGACTAAACTGAGGGTGTACTCGTCCCGATAGTGAACGTCCATAGTTCAGTCCTTGAAGATATATACAATTCTATAACTGAAACCTGCATTAGTTACAGCTGTGCCACGGTCTCAGAGGAAAGCAAGAGCAGCCCGCAGGGAGGTTAAGCCCAAGACTAGAGGGTCCTCCAAGGCCTTGCCTAGCAGGCATTTGTGTCCATTGCTTAGACGAGTTTTTGTTGCTTTGCACATTAGCACTGCTCTTCATTTGCAGCCCCTGGGAGAAGGGGAAAGAGAGGGAAAACCTGAAGCATTCCCAGTCTTTCGGCCGCTGCACAGGTTACTCGCGGCACGCCGCTATCCTGCTTTCCCCCCCTTGGAAAACCTGCCCTRGATTTCGGGCGCGTGGAAAACGCTCCGCGCGGTGCGCGCAGCCCTCGAGGCCGCCACGTCCGCGGGGCTCGGCGGGACTCCGAGCCTCCCTGCGGGCCGCCGCCGCAGAAGCGGCGCCGCGGCGGGCGGGG